AATCCACCCGTGCCTAAAGCCCCGATTCTCGCATCGGCAAACCTCATCTGCGAGTTTCTCCTTGGTCTTCTCTATCCCGACTTTCCGGCCGTCATGGAAGCCTTTTTCATAACCCACGGACCTTGCAGTCTCTACTGTAAACATGCTTGCAGTATCTCGTTCAGCAATCGCATGACTTATTAGCCGTTGGGTCACTCTTTCATCCCAGAACCGGGTTAGATTGACCGGCCGCACACGGCTTGGCAGTTTGGGCCTTCCTTAGCTCGTGCTTGGCCTTTTCGCAGGAGCCTCCAAGTTTCGAATTCGTTCGTCCTTCTTCTCTATCTCCCGTAGTGCGGCGCGCAGATGCATGCCAACTTCATAGGCGGTGTACAGCCCTCTCACAGCTCCATGGATGCCCTCTCGAAACACTTCGAAATCCTGTCGACCAACCATCGACTGCTGGACTTCCGGTGGAAAAATCTGTCGAGCGAACTCGACTGCTACACCTGGGTCGTTAACAATAGAATCCGCCTCCGTTATCGGTTTATTCCCCACAAAAATCGCAAAACTCAACAGTCGCAGCGTCGCATCGGACTCATTTCTTGGTCGCGGTCGAGGGGAGCTGCCCTGTTGCTGTTTTTCCCTTCGGGGTGATTTGCTTCGATGACTTAGGGGCTGACGTTTTTCCCGTTCCCTGGACGTCCTATTTCCCATGCGTATGGGCTCGCTGCTGCGATGCATTTCAGTGTCAAGCTCAGCCAATGTCCACCCTTCTCCTCTGCTGTTGAAGAACAGTCTATTTGACATTCACACTTATCTAACCTTCAGCAACAAATTGGTTTAAATTAAGTCTAAACACAATAAGTGGAATTACAGGTGCAAAGAACCCATCCCATTTATTTCTAACACATGCAACGCCCCCGAGGTGATTTCATTAATGCTAAACTCCAAAAGCCCGATGCCGATCGACATGAGCCGTAGCCATGCCACGAACTAATGATATTCGGCTTTTGGAGTTCATACATTGTCTGGGGCAAGGGCAGATTTATTAAATTAATTGGCCAAATATCTAAGCCCGATGCCAATCGATCTGTGCTGCAGTCACTCCATGAACTAATGATATTCGGCTTTTGGAGTTCATACACTGGCTGGGGCAATGGCAGATTTATTAATCTCGTCGGCCAAATATCTAAGTCAGTTGCCCCGATCAATCTGTGCCGCAGCCATTCCATGAACTAATGATATTCGGCTTTCGGAATTCATACATTGGCTGGGGTAAGGGCAGATTTATTAATCTGATTGACCAAATATCTAAATTACTAAATTGCCTAGTTATGTAATCGGCAAGTGTACACGAATGTTTTATCCAAAATAGCAAAAAGCAATACCATTCATCAATAGTAAAATTAAGCACAAATAATAGCAAAGTACAAAGGAATTTTTCATTAGTAAATTGGGCATAAATTGTAGCCATTTTACATATGAAAACTACTAAATGAAAAACTGCAACAGTACATTCAAAATTCCTAAGCAAAAACAACTAAAATGTTGCCCTAATCAATCCTCGGGGTCAGACTCCAGCGGCTCAACGTCCACTTGCTCGTATGGAATCGGCATAGCCAATGTCACATTAGCAGCAGCAAGGGCTTTGAGCCAATCGTGTTTGAATCCCCGATTTTCAAATTTGGGGACTTCTTCCACATAATTTGCGAGGGCAGCACTTTGCCCAGCCTCGTATGCCTTGGAAGCCTCGGAGTCGGCTACTTCCTTTGCCTTCTTCGATTCTTCCAAGTCAGCTTCCAATTTGGCAATCGCTTCTCAGGCTAACTTGAGCGCATTTTCGCTCGCGTTTGCCCTCTCCTCGGCGGCCAATATGAGTTGGTCTGAATTTCTCGCCCTTTCCATCTCGGCCTCGGCCCTTGCACATTCCATCTTCACCCTCGCTGCTTCAAACTCGGCCCTGCTCCTCTGGCCTTCAACTTCTGATTGTAAACAGCCAATTCGTTCGATGGCGTTATGCTGGCGGCGGCCTATCTCGGCTATCCTTCCGACCATCTACAAAACAGGAAATTAAAACCAAAACAATAAATGCATAAAAGGGAAAGACAAGATCAAGGTATATACCAGAAGAGTCGATTGTGCGGCTAATGCTATTGCCAACAGATCTGGCTCTGCCCGGAAAGCCGCCTTGTCAGCCGGCAATGAGACCGACGAAGCCATGCTCAACGCCACGATTGGGTCTTTCATAGCCGACACGTTAGAGGAGATCGACATGTTTTTTATCTTTGGTTGAACGACAAAGGGCACAACCACATCCGACTCCTCTAAGCGCAGCCGTTTGTCAGCGTGGTTTTCTTTAGAGCCGGCCTCGACCTCGGCAGGATGTTTCTCTGCCCTTCGCTTAGCCTCCTGATTCACCTGCGCAACCGTCTCCGACTCGGCGTTTCGGGTTTGAGCCGTCTCCTCCTCGATAACAGGCAGAAAGGGCTCTGCTTCGGCGGAAGGTGGCACTTCAGATTGAATGGCCTCTGCTCTCCGCAGCGCGGCCATTCTTTCCGCATTTTTCTTTTTGGCGAGTTGTGTGAGTGACAACCGAGCCATGTCAATCGGTAAAAATGTCGTCGAAGGGAAGGTCCCCTCGACCCGAAGTGGACGAAGGGTTAGCTCAATTGAAACCGGCTTCCTCAAAGGCCAACTTCAAAGCCTCGTCGACTTCGGCTTCGGACAGGTTTGACTCTTCGGCGACCTCCTCAGCTACTCTCGCCCGCTCCGAGTCGGATCTGTCGAAACCAACTTGCCGTAAGTTTTTGAAGTTGGTTAAAACAAGAGTTGTAAGAAACTCTTCACCCCTCGGAATTGGGATGTTTTTTGTCGCTGAAAATGTCATATATGTCGGCTCGTATCAAAGGCGAATGTGGGCCGCCCTCCATTGTTTCTGAAGGCTTGGACGACCGAAGTATTTGAGTGTGACTTTAATTTCCGTAAGAACGGCATCGTCAGTTGAAATCAAAACTTTCTTCAAATCATTTCCTGCGCAAGCAAAACCATGAGACCGCAAAAATAAAGCCTTGTAAATACAAGAAAAATAAACGCAAGGAGCTATATGGCCACCTGGTTCACCCCTCCATCTAGGAATAGGATCTAGGCGGTCCTCGCCTTTGCCGAATTCCCAATTACCTCGGACAATGACCATGACATCATCGACTTGCTTGCTAGAGCTGGAAAGCATAGTCACTAATTGATGGTCAGTGTCCTTGGCCCTAAGAAAATAGCGTCCATGCCGGCCAGAAGACTTGGCCAAGGCATAACAGTGTCGAATAGTAGGTATGCCAAGGTTAATCCTAAGGCGACGGTTTAACTTTATAATCCCCATTACAATTCTAAAAAAGTTGACATTGGGTTGGGAAGGGATTAGATTCCAATGGTGAAAAACAGCCCTAAGGGATGGGTGAAGTGGGAAACGGACTCCGCCATCTGCAATTGATAAGAGAGGGAAGACGATTGTGCTTTCATCATCCCTCTCCATATCAAGGGTGTCGTCTGTCACAAGTGACAGACGGACGTCATCAAGGATAGAAAAATGGTGTCGAAAGCCAGAGACTCGATCCGCGAAGAGGAGGTCTTTCAAATGCTTTGCCATTTTCGTCAGCCTATAGAAGTATGGTAAACTAAAAACAAACCAGGAAAAGGGATTCAAAGTAGAGAGGAAGAGAACTTACAAGAGACGGAGAGGACAATAAAGGATAAAAGGAAGTTGCAGAGGTGAGTCAGAAGGCAGTCCAAAAACTTCAAGCATCCAAATATGTGAATGTATTCGAAAAGACGACAAAATTTTAAATCACAATAAATGGAAGCGTACGAAGGGGCGGAAAGTTGAAATGATGACCAAAAGGCGTATGCTCTGACATCCGCGTTGGAATGAGGTTAGCCGCCGAATTTCGGCTCTGACTGTTTGAGTTCGAAACCAAACACACCAGCTAACTATCGTTAGTGGAGTGTTTGGGGGGCAATTGTGGGGGCCGAATATCGTGAGATGTAAAGAGGCCGAATAGTCAGACCTGGAGAGTCAAAATTCATATATCGCACTCGCCCTCGTCTTATACACAAATCCAGAGGCACCCTATTCGGCCAAATAACTAGTTGAGGAAGGTGCCGAAATGAAGAACGGTTTAAAACAAAAGGAGCCGAGTAAATAGTTGTACGACGAATTGAAGGTGGGCCCAGCCCTGAAGCCCAAGAAAGAAAAGATATAAATAGAAGAACATCATCTAGAGAGAGGCATGCGAGAATTATTACGGTTAACTTAAGATACAAGTAACTAAAGGAGCATACACTGACTTAACCGTCGGAGTGTTAATTTCGGCACCCCCGACCGGATTGTTTATTCCTTTTCAGGTTGTCAGCTGAGAATCTCGAGCGTCCCAGTCGATCAAAAGAGTATTTCCAAACCACATCCCCACAAGAGAAAATAAAAAAATAAAAAGAAAAGGGAGAGAAAGGTGGAATCATAGAAGGATGGGTGAGAAAAGAAAAAAGTAAGGGAGAGAAGCAGTAAAATAGAAAATGTACATGTAAGATATTTTTTGAAAAACATACCTCAGCTGCTGTTTTGTAATTTGAATAGATCTGAGCTGTTCAAATATCCTAGTAAGACAAATGTGTTTAGGATAAATTAAAAAAACTATCCTACTTTATTATATAGATTTTTCATATATATAATACTAAATTGCACTAAATTCCACATTTAAGATCTCTCTAACACTGCTTTTTACTTTGATATTTTATTAAAAGTAAATATATATATTAATTACAGCGGCCGAGGTGATTTCGAAAATGAATTATAAATTTCAAACCGCAGATCAAACCAATCCACTATTAAATGATGGATCGGTGCGGACTAGATGATTTTAATAGATTGAACGATATTTTCCACAGTCCAATCCCATCCCATGACTATACACAACACATTAATCATATGGAAGTGAGGTGAAACTAATGAAAAACACAACAAAACAAAATGACAGAGAATTAAAATATGAGTGACAAGATTGAACTTACAAAAGAATATGAACAAAACAGGTACAAGAAACAAATATTACAAAAGCAAAGACAAAAAATAAAAAAATTTACTTTGCTTTATAAACATAGATGTTGGGGACCCGGACCACAAAAACAGGACCTCACTGGCTGCTACTAGGGGCTGCCAACTTCCAATAAAAATAATGCCTAGCTAGCTACTTTGTGTATATTACAAACTAGGAAACAACAACAACACAAAAAAACTGCCTTAAAACTCTCTTAGCCTTTAGCCTTGGGTAATATGAGAACAGAGTCTACGCACAGACCACCTTTTGTATGTGTGCAATCAATCTGTGTCATTGAGAACTTGATCTTCGTCGCAATGTTAGGCTTCTCAACAACAAAATCACCAACATGGTAGTTCACCCACTTCCCTGGTTCATTCAAATAGCACTGTGACATGGCATGCTGCCCATTCGACATCGAAAATTGGAACCGGACTGGCTTAATGTCCCAACCATGGATTTTGTCAAGGTTACAGACCCTCCGGCTGAGTCGTTTTGTGGGTCTTCCAAGCTGGAGACGAAAGTATAGGCTATAGGTTCCTGATGGAAATTCGAATTCCAAGTTTCCATCTACTTCTAACCACCATATCTGTTGAAGATATGCAATTGTGTGGAATCTACACATCAAACAAGGCGAAATTCCAAATGATCATGTGAGTTGTGGTCCTCTGGAAATGTACAGTTAAGTGATGCAATGATTTTATATATTGCCTCAATTGAAACATGTTTACTTAGAAAAACTTGAATACAGCTGGCATATGTATTTTTTAAAGTCTGACTATGACTTATAGAAAGGAAAAAAAATTACTAATAAAGAAGCGACGAAAGGTAAAAGTCATTTATTTACAAAATATGAATGACAAAAAAAATAATTAAAATATGCTGGCAAGTTGGACTAGTCTTAATCCATCGTTGTTATAATACGTACACGCAACAAGTTGCCTTGTTTCCCCCACAACATGTTTCTTATTGGCTTCAGAACTAGGAACATTATCAAGAAAATGAAACAAGAAGGAAGACAAGAAAAAAGGAAGGAAAATTTTTGATGGATAAAATTATTATATATTTGGATGAAACTGCCAAGCAAGGAAGACTTTATTCATGGTTGATTTGAATAATAGCTATAACCCCAAGGGGTGATGAATTAATGGACTCTCTTTTAAGCAATAGGTCTAGGTTTAGGTTACATTCCCCACTTTATAAATCATCTTGAACTTATGCCGATAATTACAAAATATGTGTTATGATGCTTCTTACACTCATCTTTTTTCCTTTTTTGATGTAATGGCATCATTATTCATCAATAAAAGTTTTTTTTGCCGATAAAAAAAAAAAAATACAAAATGTGTCAAATGAGAGAGACTATATGTTCGGGTGACTAGCTGTGACAAAGCTTTGGATACCGGAGTAATTTAAAAAAAAAAAAAAATGAAAAACAGAGTTTTAGCTTGGGAGGTCAGAACAACTCAACAGCTTCAGGTTTAGCCTTGACTAGGCTTGGGTTGAAATTTTCAAAATGAAACCTAAGGTGGTGTTGATTTTTCAATTTTTTTATTTTTTATTTTTTTGGGTTTCTACCACGTTATGAAAATTTTGTTTACTTTTTCATAAAAACTTTTTTTTGTCAAAGGACCATTGTGAATTAAATCATTATTGAGAAATAAGATAGACAATTATACCACCACTAACCCAAATCAACTGGCCTACCCAAGCATCGGAGACATGGTTTCAGAAACCTAACCCTAGTTGGGATAGGGATTCAAAGTGGTAAGAAATGACTTCATTTTCACTCAAGGTTGAGCGTGGATTTGGCCCATGCACATCTTGCCTAAGGTGTAGCCATCTTAGGGATTAGGATATTAGGATAGCAATAGACAAACCACTTGGTTTTTCCTTGGTCCTTTGCCAATATTATCATCCCAACTAAAATTATTTTAAACTTTTGGATTCCATCTATTCTCTTGAATTGAGAGATTGGAAAACGTCCCCTCCACCAAATCTCCCACCAATAATTTTAAAAAATAAAAAATAAACGGATAAATTGGTAAATAAAACTCAAAGCAAAGCAAAAACTAGGTACCATATAAATTCAAATTTAGAATACTACCTTAAATAAATTTAGGTCAAGTTTGATAAGTTGAAAAAACGCTAAAAAGTCAAAAAATTACCTACAAAGTTAAAAAGTTATCACTATTCATCAAAAGTTAAAAATTACGGCTGTACAACTCCCAATCCTAATTTTTCCCTCTAAATCAATTTTTATAATTTTTTTATATAATTTTTTAATACACATTTTTCTATAAAAGTCAAAAAGTTAACCTAAACATCCATATTTTTTTCCTCAATTTTTAATCCAAAAAGACAAAAAGTGTACTTATTTAAGACACTCCAAACAAACCCTTAATTCGTACATTTTATTTTCAAGAAGGATAATTTACAGATTAGTTTAGTATTTAGTGATAGATTAATGACGCGTAGTTCGAATTCGGTGGCCCGAATTCGGTTCGAAACCCAAAACGACGTCGTTTTGGGTTTTGATTTTTTTTTTTCGTTGAACACAGGAGAAGAGCAGAGGCGAGAGAGAAACAGAGTCGTCGTCGTCGTCGTCGTCGCAGCTCGGCCGATCGTTGCATCGCAGCCCCGCCTCCGCCTCTGCCTCCACCTACCGCCGCCTCCACCTCCGCATCCACTCCATTTTGTTGCCCCCTCCAGTCCACTTCTTCTGCTCCTTCTCTTCTTCTTCTTCTTCTTCCTTCTTCTTCTTCTCTTCTTCTTCTTCTCCGAATTCGAACCAAATTCGAGCCTCCAAATTCGAGCTACGAATCGGAACCATTAGTGATATTGTTAAAAATACAAAAGCCAAGTCACTCTTTTTGTTTTATAATAATGAAACACAAAGTAAGTCAAATAATTTTGAGTTCAATAATACTAACCCAAACCAATGTGGGCAAGCCAGAGTCTTCTAACAAAACCAAGTCCCAACCCAAAAAGAAAAAAAGAAAAAAAAAGAATTGTGAGTGAGTTTTGATCTAACCTTGATTCATCAGTTGGGATGTGATTCCAGTATCTCCGATCATCTATACCCGTTATTTTCAATCCTTTCCATGAAATCGAAAGTTAACCTAAACATCCATATTTTTTTCCTCAATTTTTAATCCAAAAAGACAAAAAGTGCACTTATTTAGGACACCCCAAACAAACCCTTAATTCGTACATTTTATTTTCAAGAAGGATAATTTACAGATTAGTTTAGTATTTAGTGATAGATTAATGACTCGTAGTTCGAATTCGGTGGCCCGAATTCGGCTCGAAACCCAAAACGACGTCGTTTTGGGTTTTGATTTTTTTTTTTTTTTTTTCGTTGAACACAGGAGAAGAGCAGAGGCGAGAGAGAAACAGAGTCATCGTCGTCGTCGTCGCAGCTCGTCGGCAACTCGTCGCTTGTCGGCCGATCGTTGCATCGCAGCCTCGCCTCCACCTCTGCCTCCACCTGCCGCCGCCTCCGCCGCCGCATCCACCCCATTTTGTTGCCCTCTCCAGTCCACTTCTTCTGCTCCTTCTTCTTCCTCCTTCTCTTCTTCTTCTTCTTCTTCTTCTTCCTTCTTATTCTTCTCCGAATTCGAGCCAAATTCGCGCCTCCAAATTCGAGTTACGAATCGGAACCATTAGTGATATTGTTAAAAATACAAAAGCCAAGTCACTCTTTTTGTTTTATAATAATGAAACACAAAGTAAGTCAAATAATTTTGAGTTCAATAATACTAACCCAAACCAATGTGGGCAAGCCAGAGTCTTCTAACAAAACCAAGCCCCAACCCAAAAAGAAAAAAAGGAAAAAAAGAAAAAAAAAAGAATTGTGAGTGAGTTTTGATCTAACCTTGATTCATCAGTTGGGATGTGATTCCAGTATCTCCGATCATCTATACCCGTTATTTTCAATCCTTTCCATGAAATCGAAACACAAATCTCTCCACTTCTCTTCTCCATCCATACTTCCTGCAAAAGTTGATCCAAACAACATAATAATCCATCAACAACTATCAAAGGAGAGAGAGAGGGGGCAAAAGTTCTTATATCCACCTCATAATCACTACCAACCCATCAAACATACAAATATCATCTATATATATGCATGTGTATATAGAAGCAATGAAGTGAGACAGTGGATCCAAAAAAAAAAAAAAAAAAAAAATAAATTCTCTCGCCATATTACACATAAATAAAAAAAAAAAAAAAAAACACAGAAACAAGAAGAGGGAGAGAAAATGATGAAGCACCTTGGTTCCGGCATCAAAGCGAATGGGACGACACAATATGGAATAAATGTGTCTCTTGGGTAAATTGTCTGGATTTTGATTGAACAGCTTCTTCACAAGAGACTGATAATTTTCTGGCAACTTGGATTCCCACACAAAATCAGTGGACGAAGCTTGACGGAACACCCGATTCACCCGACCCAAATTACAGATCTCCGGAGCGTCCAAATAATTCAGAACCAGAGCCACACAGCTCTCCGGTATGTCTCCGAGACTCGGACTCAATGGAGCCTCCTTCTCTGCAACAAACCCAGAAAACCCAGCCCCCATATAAAGCACAAAAAGATCAACCGACAAAAATGCTTCGAACAAGAGAGGGTTACAGGGAATTGAAGAAAGGAAAGCTTGAAGATGGTGTGGTGATCATCATTCTGTTGCTGTGTGAATGAGGAGAAAACAGCAAAGTAGAGAAAAAGAGAGAGAGAAATGACGTTTATTTGTGTGTGCTTTTGGAATTTATTTGGAAGTGGTGAGTGTGTGAGATTGGACAAATTTTTTATAAAACTAAATGAATTATTAAATATTTTATTAAATCCCTTATATAAATATAAGATTTACATAAATTATATGTATAACGATCTTATATTTTTGTGAGAGATTTACATAAATCACATGTATGAAGATCTCATATTTATGTGAGAAGTTTAATAAAATATTTAATAATTTATTTACGATTTATAATATTTTTTATTTTTATATCATAATAGAATGTTACGTGACGTTATCTTATATTAATTATAAATGTATATATATTTTATTATTTTTTAAATATTTAATATAAATATAATAAATTTTTTTATTAAATTTAATTATAATAATCAAATGTACTACATAATATAGTGGTGTTTTGAAAAGATGATAAAAAGTTAATTTTTTAATTTTTTTATATAAAAAAATAAAGAGGTGATCTGATTTTAAAATGTCAAAAAATTAAAAAAAAAAAAACTATAAAATTAATCTTTCCAGATTGCCCCATATATCCTGTTTATATATAAAAATTACTCGTGACAGAGATTAATGTCAAAGCTTGCACGATTGGACTTGAAAATTGATAGTATTAGGTCAGTGAGGCATATGATATGAGTACTGTGTGGTTTACACTGGAGGCATGTGAAAGGAATGTCTATTGTACATTTCACGCAATATCATGCTAAATTACTAACTTAACCTTCTTATTATATACTCTTTTTTTTGGAACGATTTCTTATTACATACTAGAATAATCTTCTTTTTTTCTGTATAAAATAAATTGTAATACGGAAATTTTAGGAAAAAATACATGTCAACGTATATTTAAAAAAATAGTTATACTTTGGGACTCGTATCACTTTGATTAATTGTGACATATTTAATCATGAATTTTGAATTTTGTTACAAATAAAGACAAGTGAAGATATCATTCCTTAATTTCAAGCGTAAAATCGTCAATTTGATAAAATATAAACTAATTTGACAAAAATAAATGTCAAAAAAATATTTTTAAATTTTCAAAAATTATTTCTACCCTCCAAAGATAAAATTATGTAAAATTAATAAATCTTTTAGGCATTTATTTATTTATTTATTTTACCAAATTAATTTTTATTATATGTTTAGATGATAATCATGTAATGGGTAGTTTTTAAGCTTTTAATGTGTAATCAATACATTTAATATATGAAATGTTTTTAGTTTTAGATTTTTTGATTTAATGGATTAGTTTAATAATGATATCAAAGTTGTTACCATATTTAACTTTTGAAAAAATAAAAATTAATTTAATGAAAACAAAAATAACCCCTCATTATATGACTATCATCCAAATACATAATAAAAATTAATTTGATAATAAATAAATAAATAAATGTCTAAAAGATTTATCAATTTTACATAATTTTATCTTTAGTGAGTATTTTTAAAAATTTGAAAATATTTTTTTGACATTTATTTTTGTCAAATTAATTTATATTTTATTAAATTGACAATTTGCCTTTCAAAAATCTAATGATATCTTCAATTGTCTTTATTTAGAATAAAATTCAAAATTCAGGGTCAAATGTATCACAATTGAAAAGTCAGGGACCAAAATGATACAAGTCCCAAACTATAAGGACCGTTAGTATAAAATTTACCCTTAAAAAAATATTTACAAATTAATAATAAACTTTACTTGTATTAAAATATGAAATGATAAATTTTTTCATCAATTTGTAATTAAAATTTAAAAATCCACTTAGCAGTACGTTATCCAAAATTGTATAATACACATCTCTTTTTAGAGATACGTATTATATGTCTTACTTATGATTTTTGTAATATTTGATTATAATTATGTTAGTTATGGCTTGATTATAGCTATTTTAGTTATAATTTTAAATTTTTTTTTTATATCTTTGTTTCATTATAACTTAAATTTTTTTTATGATTAGTAAAAACAATCTTATTATGACATTTATAATAATTTACATTATAAATATCACAATTTATTCATCTTTATAACATAACCCTTGTAATACAAATTGATTAGAGGTAGTCAAACAGATCACATAGGGGCAGCCTCTACTTAGACCAAAGCTAACCTATAAAGCACTATTACATATATAGCCAACCAATATTTTGTTTTTTTCCTCCAATCCGCAGGAGGAATTTCCATTACACATAAATGTAGTAATGCAACAAATTGATCCAGTGCACTGTCAAAACAAAATTATTAAATTATTAAAAATTTATAATTTTAATTATTAATATTAATAAATGTTTTCACCAATTTATAATTATTTTTATAAAAATAACATGATATGTAATTTTCCCTTAAAATTATCACAAGGAATAATTGCTTTAGTGAAAAATACGTTATTACATTTAAATTGGCCATTCAAATTTTAATTATGAAAAAAAAAATCAATAAATTCAACCTTCATAAACAATAAATAAATAAATATAAAGAGTAAATTATTGTAAAACATTAGACAGTGCTAGAATTACAATTGGTATTTTTCTGACTGAGTAATATTAAAAAATTCTTAAAATATTATCTCTAAATTTATCTACACCAATCGGGACATTTTGCTTAATGGTTATGTAAAACATTTGTGATGTGAGGTCTCGATTTCAAATTCCTATAGAGAGAAGTTTTATACTTTTTGTGATAATTGGTTTATTTCTATCCCATTATAAAAAGGGAATTTTTTTTTAAGGTCCTTGGTATTAAGAGTTTATAGCATAAAGGACATCAAATATTTTTATAATGTCTAAGGTCCCTCACACATTGATCCAGAGAAATTTCAATCTCCAGAGAAATTCTCTCCAAATTTTTCTGGACTTAAATTTCTCTGGACTTCTTTTCAAATTTCTCTGGACTTCCCATTGTCCAGAGAAATTCTCTCCAAATTTTTTTGGACTTCTTTCTAAATTTCTCTGGACTTCTTTTCAAATTTATCTGGACTTCCCACTGTCCAGAGAAATTCTCGCCAAATTTCTCTGGATTTCCCACTGTAATTTCTTTGGACAAAGTAAGTTCAAGTCTCATCTTAGCCTAAACTCTCTCTCACTCTCTAATATTTTTTCTTTGGATATATGGTTGCAGAAGAAGCTTCTGATTCTCCAAATTTCTCATAGCCATTATTGGTCATTCAAAATCAAAGAATTTCTCTAGTTACCTACCAGGAAATATTTCTTGGTTATCTAAACTTCTTTGTTATTGGTCATTCAAAATCAAACAAAACTAAAGAAATTTGGGCTACCTAGAAACAAAAAAACAATCATAATTTTCTCTGTGTTTTACAGTTCTAAAAAGAGTTTTGTCAAACCAAATCTCACAGTTATGTGTTTTGGAGTTCTAAGAAGCATTTTGTCAAACAGTTTAACTTCATACTATATACATGAATGTTTATATATGTATGAGTTGTGAGAGAGAGAGAGAGAGAGAGAGAAAGAGCAATCTCCTCTTGACCAGTCAAGAAGAGGAGGATATCACGCTCAAGTTCTGTCAAGTGGATCTCTATAACAGTGATTAGAGATATATCTTTGTAGTTACTTTCTGGCTATTTGGTGTAAAGTATCTCCATCGGATAAGTTCTTCCAAGAATTGTAAAGATATTGCAGTTAAAGGAATAACTTGAAAATTTCTTTGCATTTAATGTGACAGATGTGACAATCAATCGAAGGTCAAGTCTCCTCTTTACAAGCTGCTTCAACAATCCAAAAAGGACATCAATGTGGATTGTCCTCTCATGAGCTTCATCAAGCATTATAACTGAATACTGAGATAAATTCTCATCAATCAAAATCTCTCGTAGAACCATACCATCTGTCATATACTTGATTACTGTATCCGGTCCGGTCCAATACAAATGACGACGATGAACTCTGATGATGGAGGTAGAGTTCGTCGGAGAGAGAAGAGCAAAGAGAAAAGAAGAGAGGGAGAGGCAGTTTGATTTAAGGGAATCAAATTTCTCTGTGATATATGTGTGTTGGGGATTGAGGGACCTTAGACATCATAAAATAATATTGTGAATCTCTTCCATTATTAAAAATGAGAGAGGGACCTTAGACTAATTTTCTCTTATAAAAATTGTATGTGATTATTTGTAGTAGGTGGGCTTGACTTGGTAGCTTTCTAGTTATTGTGTGCTAATAGTCTAATATAATTACTCTCCTCTTTATTAACAAAAAAGATTAAAAAAAATTAGCTACACTGATATGAATTTGTTTTAATTAGAGCTTATTTGGCATCACCATAAATAATTTACTTAATTGATTTATTAACTTATTTAGGTTATATCGCTTCTCTATTTTTCTGTACGTCTTTTCATAATAAATAAAAAAACATCTTATAAATCATATTCAAAATAACCCCTAGTAATTTCTAAACAAACTAACATCTATTTAACAATTTAGGTCATTAGGGTCAAAATCTGATATTTTAATTTTTAATCGGCTTAATTATTGCAGTGTTATGAACTGTAATGGTGTAAGCTAAGTAGCTTTTTGATAGACTTGTGAGGCTTGTTGTTATTGGTTTTGTAAGATTGGTTGTTGGTTGGCAACTTGCAGTGTTTTCTGAAATGCCTACTGTAATTAATTTTTTAATTTTTTATAATAAAAGCATAAGAAAATAAAGAAGAAAGTAAATTATTTAATAATAATTATTTAATTTTTTTTTGACTATATTAAATAATTTCTAAAACGGCCCGGATTTTAGTTTTAGCATATGTAAGATTGGCTTTTGATTCATGTTAATTTAATGAGACAATTACAATAAAATGATATAAACTCAAAATTATTACAAAAAGATAGAAGTACAAGACTTATTTACACAATGTAATACATAAATTATTTATGACATTACAATTATTTTATATTGTTATTATTTTCTTCAATTCTCCCTAATTTAATTGAGACATATATGTATTCATAAACAATGATGTTTTATCATGCCCTTTTATTGATGTACTGTAGTATACCTTTTGTACT